TAAGCATCTCGTATTTTCAAAAATATTATTCGCAAGTACTAGTATTTTACAGAAAAAATAGTTGCTGAAAGAGAAGTAAACAGAAAAAGGACCAAAGTGATGTAATAATACCTAAACAACAAAGACAATTCGGTTTATCCGAACCTCAAAAAGGGAACTATGATTATGCATCTCGAAGCTTATCTTATCTCTTTAAGTTTTTNAAAAATATTTACAAAAGTGTTATAGTTCAAACTTAATTAGACTTTATTAATTGATGTCAAACCTCTTATGCAATTTGTATCTACCTGCCGAACAAAATATAATACAGCTTATACCTATCTCACAAACAAATATCATTACTAATTTATTTAATAATTATTCAATCACTATTCCAAATTACATAAATCTGGTATACCAACATTATAATTGGCAAAAATAAATAAATTATAATTGGTATTAAACCAACAAAAAAAAAACATTTACAACTGGAGCTTGGTAGACTAAACATTTCTACGTTTAGTTATTCTGTTCATCTAATAAATAAATAGAATCGCACTCCAAAATTAAATATACTAGAATAGATGCACGATTTTTTCTTATATAATTTTGTTAAATATAGTGATGAAAAGTTTAATTACTCTAGTAATTTTATACTTTTTTCTGGTCAAAGATGATAAATTTCATTAAACCGGAAGAAAGACTAAATCGGTAAAAGTCGGTTCACAATACAAACCCGCTTTGGTTAGGCTATCAACCATAAGTTCTCATCTATGAGAATAATTACAAAAAGATGAGATATTGAGATCTACATATAGAGTTGTAATGTCATGTAACATACCATAGACATCAAGCTGAGAGCTTCGTGAGTTGAAAAAAGTAGTACACTTATAATTGACAAATCAACCAATTTTCTTTAGATATAAAATATTTGATTTGAATTGAAATAAAATTAATTTTTTGTCTTATATGTATTGTATGAAAATATGTAGTGATCTTCAATCATTTCAATGTTGATAGTTCCTATTTAAAAATAAATATATGTGTTTGAGACTTT